CATTTATTTTTTTCTTTTGTTTCCCTTTTCTAAGGAGATATAGCGTAAAAAGTATTGCTACAAGAAATGTTCAAGATATTACTGTCTATGCTTTCTTCTAGGATTTTTATGGTTTTGAGTCTTACATGTAAGCCTTTAATCCATTTTGAGTTTATTCTTTTGTATGATGTAAGAAGGTGGTCATTTTTTTTTCTTTGCATGTATCTGTCCAATATTCTCAACACCGTTTATTGAATAGACTGTCTTTACCCTAGTGTATGTTTTTGTGTCCTTTGTCAAAATTGACCATAAAGGCACGGGTTTATTTTTGGGCTATCTGTTCCATTGATCCATATGTGTTTTTATGCCAGTACCATGCTCTTTTGTGATTACTATGGCCTCATAGTATAGTTTGATATTGGGTAGCATGATTCCTCCAAATTTGTTCTTATTTGTCAAGATTGATGTGCCTATTCAGGGTCTTTTATGTTTCCATATACATTTTTGGAATAGTTGTTCTAGTTCTGTGAAATATGTCATTGGTATCTTGATGGGAATTGCACTGACTCTATAGATTGCTTTGGGTAGTATGAACATTTTAATGATGGTAATTTTCCCTATCTATGAACATGATATATGCTTCCACTTATTTGTATCTTCTTCAATTTTTCATGTCTTCTAATTTTCTGAGTATGGGTCTTTTATATCCTTGGTTAAATGTATTCCTAGTTTTGGGTTTGTTTGGTTTTTTTGATACAATTGTACGTGGAATTGTTTTCTTAGTTTCCCTTCCTGATAGTTCAGTATTGGTGTATAAAAATGCAGCTGATTTCTGAATATTTATTTTATATCCTGCTACTTTACTAAATTCAGTTGTCAGTTTTAATAGTTTCTTGGTGGATTTTTTAGGTCTCTCTATATACAGTATCATATCATATGCAAATAATGACAGTTTTACTTCTTCCTTTCTAATTTGAATGACTTTTATTTCTTCTTCTTGTCTGATTGCTGTGGATAGAACTTCCAATACTATGTTGAACAAGAGTGGTGAGACTGGACATCCTTGTCTTGTTCCCAGTCTTAAGGGAAGCACTTTTTGCCTGTTGAGTATGATGTTAGCTGTGGATTTGTCATAACATGGCCTTAATTATGTTGAGGTATGTTCCTTCCATTGCCACTTTGCTGAGAGTTTTTATCTTATTATAAATAGGTGCTGGATTTTATCAAATGCCTTTCCTGCATCTGTTCATATGACTGTGCTTTTTATCCTTCATTATGTTTATGTGGTGTATCATAATTATTGATTTGTGGATATTGTACCAAGCTTGCATCTCTGGAATAAATCCTACTTGTTCATGGTGTATGATCTTTTTAATGTATTGCTGGGTCCAGTTTGCTAATATTTTGTTGAGGATTTTAGCACCTATGTTCATCAGGGATGTTGACTTATAAGTTTCTTTCTTTGTAGTCTTCATCTGGTTTTGGAATTAAGATAATGCTAGCCTTGTAAAATAAGTTTGATAGTCTTCCCTCCTCTTGAATCTTTTGGAATAGTCTGGGGATAGGTGTTAGTTCTTTTAAGAATGAATTTTAGTCAGCCAGATGAGGTATCCTGGCAGTGGAAACAGAAGGTGCAAAGGCCCAGGGGCAGAAAGGGAGCCTCCTAGGTTCCTGCACTTGTCAAGCTTGCTTCTTCTATAGCCTCTCAATTCTGTGTGCCCCAAGATCCTGAAGATACATTTCCTTTTACACTTAAATTAGATGAAATTCCACTGCTTCCACCAATGGGATACTGTCTAAATACTCTTTGCATTTTAGACGGATTTTTGGCCACAGTCTGCACTCTTTTCTCAGGGTCACGTTAACCTGAATCTCTCAAATAAATTCCCACCTCAGTGGACCCGTTGGCTAGAAAGAAGTTTCTGTGCTAACGTATATGTGGACCCATCTGGTTTTTCTAAGGAAAGGTAAAGAGTGTCCTTTTGTACAACTAAGTATTGAAAAGCAATCTGGTTTCCTTTTTTCCTTTCGTTGGTTCTTCAGAATGAGTCATTGGCACTATTCTATCCACTGCCAGGGCAGCAAAGCCCAGCACTCTCTCTCAGCAACACTTCTGGCACTCACTCATCACCTCCTCCCCTCCCTGTGACAGCAGTAATCTCCCAGCATCATCTATGCTAAACAAAACAAAACAAAACAAAACAAAAAGACTTTCTGCCCTCCGAGGTAGATCTGAACTCAAGATAATCTCCCCAAGTTTGCTCTTCCCTCATTCTAATCCATTTCAGTAAATGCATCCATTTTCCAAGCCAATATCCCAAGAATCATCCTTGATTTCTTTCCTTAGCCCGTCACATTTAAGCAGTCGGGAAGTCCTGACAGCCCTGCCTCCACAACATGTCACACACTAGCCCACCTCCCTCTATCATCGCTGCCTCCACCCTCTACCAAGCCACTACCACCCAGACACTTGCCTTGGCCTCCTGTCTCCCCACTTCCTTGTCCTGCTCTTCAATGCATTTACTTCAGCTAGAACAATATTTTAAAAATTCAAATCTTCTGCTTAAAGCCTTCCAACGGCTCCCCAAACTCCTCAACTTGGCCGATAAGACCCCGTGTGGTATGTTCACAACAGAGGCCACTCCTCTCTCACCTTCAGACCCAGTCACACTGACCTGCCTGTGGTCTCTGGAACAGCCCTGGTCTCTCACCTCTGAGCTGTCTCAAATTCTATTCTCTGCCTATAATGCCGTCACCCATTCTCATGATCCAGAAAGTTTCCTTCTTCCTTTTCAGGGTTCAGGTTAAATGTCACCACCTTCAGGAAGCCTTCCTTGATGACCCCCAGACTAACTTAGGTCCCCTTGTTTATAGTTCTTGGCCATACAGTGACATGCTTATAATCTTGTGTTTCACGTCTGGCTCCTCTGCCATCAGTCTGTGAGCTCAGGGAAATCGCTCTCTTTCTTGCTCACCACTGTATCCCTAGAGCCTGACACGATGGCCAGCTTATATTTGGCACTCAGGAAGCGTCAGCTATGGAGATGATGAATGAGTGACAGCTGGGATTCTGGAATTGAGCTTCATCACGAGTCCTTGGCAGGATCCCATAATCTTCTCTAGGGACTTGGCCCTTGGAAGGAAAAGCTCCCTAGGTCCTAAATTTTCTAAGAGATACTGTGGAGTCATTCTATAGTTTATCTAAGCATGGGCTCTAATCCTTATTTATTCTAAAATAGCTATTAATTATAGGTATGTATGAGGCTGGAATTTAATCTTTGTGTTTCCCCAGTATGCATCCAGAAACCTGGCATAGAGGGGTTAAAAATGCAGATTTCTGGGGATTTAAACCCAGCTCTCTCACCTAGGCAAGTGACTTGTCTTCCTGATTCTTCAATAGAATCTGTTCTTTACAGAGTGAAATGGAAAGTTAACTAACAGCGTCCATGTAACACTCAGTGCCTGGCACACAGGAAGACCTTAATATACCATTATTGTCCATGTCAATAATAGGTTGATGACAGTTTAGTAAGAATTTTAGGCATTTCTTCATATTCCCACTAGGTGTCGGCACAGACTTGGTTAAAATGAGTCTACAAGCCCTAAGAACCCTGGAACAAAAGGGCCCTGGCGCTGGAGAAATTGAAGACAGAGTAGGGCAGAGACCTTACAAAGTCAAAAAAAGATCTGAACCCACTTGTCCTGCCTCCTTAGGATAGCAAACTCCAAAGCCATGGTCGGGAGGCCCTGGGCTAGGCTATTTTACTCACTCATAGTAATAAGTAGTTGTGAGTGCCAACTATGTGACGGGTGCTGTTTGAAGACCTGTGAAACAGGAACTCACTAACTTCCCAGAAACAACCATATGGGGTCGATCCTCATGTCTTTCTCATTTTACAAATGGGAAAAGCAAGGCACAGGGGAGTTAAGTAACTTGTTCGACGACACATAGAGGAGACAGAAAAGTCCTGAGGGGGATTTAGAAGGGATGGACGAGACGAGGAACGTGTGGAGTGGGAGAGCAGGATCCTAGCTAAGTTCAGATGGCAGGTGGGAGAGGCCTTGGCAGGAAGTCGAGATCGGCTGAGCAAAATTTTAGGGCAGAAAGACCTTCCAGGTCCCTGAAGTCAGAGCCCAGCTTTGGTGTCATTTCTACCACCTGAAAGTGGGCTTGCAGGGTGAAGCGGTCTTGAGGGCACAGAGGAAGGGAACCAGCAGGGCAAGAGTCAGCCTCATGTTAAAAGGCCCTGTCTCAGCCCTGGCTGGCATAGCTCAGTGGATTGAGTGTGGGCTGCAAACCAAAATGTCGCAGGTTCGATTCCCAGTCAGGGTACATGCCTGGGTTATAGGCCATGACCCCCAGCAACCGCACATTGATGTTTCTTTCTCTCTCTCTCTCTTTCTCCCTCCCTTCCCTCTCTAAAAATAAGTAAATAAAATCTTAAAAAAAAAAAAAAAAGGCCCTGTCTCATCTTTTCCAGTTTTCTGGGGCCCCAAAGAGGAGAGGGTTGGCCACTGAGGCCTTCTCAGTGCCCACACCTGGCTTTAAGGTTATAGGAAGGCAGAGTCCCTCCAAAACAGACCTTCTGATTCTTGCTCAACAGCCAAGGTCACAGGGCATAGGCTTGCAGAATCCCTTTCTCGCTTTTCTTACATTTTATTTTTCTTAAGAGTAGAACATACATAAAGTCCCTCAGCTTATGGTAGAGCTTGATGAATTTTTGCCCATTAATCTCCAACCAGATTAAGATACAGACCTTTTCCGGCACCCCAGAAAAGTTCCCCTTGCTCCTTTCCCATTTCTACTCCACCTCCAACCCAGATAACTATTCTGATGTCTATCATCGGAAATTAGTTTTGCATGCCCTTGAGCTTTATATGAATGAAATCATACAATAAGTACTATTTTCATGTTTGGATTCTTTTAGTCTACATACTGTACATGCGATTAGTCTGCGGTGTCACATATGTCAGTATTTTGTACTTTTAGATGCAAAGTATAGCCGTTGAATAAAAATGCCATAATTTGTTTATTAATTCCCCTGGTGGTGAACATGGAGCTATTTCCAGTTCGAGCTATGAATACATCTGCTGTGAAAATTCTTGCACAAGTCATTTTGTAGACATAGGCACTCATTTCTCTTGGAATGAATTCCTAGGAGTGGAAATTCTAGGTTATAGCATAGGTGTATGTTTAGATTTAGTACAAACTGCCAGTTTTCTCAAGTGGTTGTACCAATTTTCTCTCTCACTAGCAGTGTGCAAGAATTTCAGTTGTTCCACTTCCATGCCAACACTTAGCCCCTTCTCTTTTTCTAAACAAGAGTTTTCACTTGAAGACCCCTGTTCTCCTCCAGAGTTGAATATCGGGTGTGCGCAGCATAGGTACACTGATCCCTCAGCCCATAAGCATCAAGATAGTGAGAGGCCACATGCAGTTTGTTTGAGTCTCTGCTAGAGAAGAAATGGGCATCTTCTTGACATGGATGTAACCCTAGGAACTGCGATGGCCATCTTGTGGCCATGAACATGAAAACAACACGAAGACAGTAGAACAGAGATGGAATGGACCTGAGAGATAACATGGCCTTGATGACTTTGCCGAGCCACTCAATTAACCTGCCATTGAGTGGTAGGCTACTTTTTTTTTTTAGGCCAGTTCAGCTAGGATCTTTTTTTTCTTTTAGGAACTTGCAATATCAAGGAACTTGCGATTGTCAAGTCCATAAACCTTCCTTGTAACCAAACCCAGTGATGCCATTTCTGTCCTCACATAGTCAGCCCCACTGAGCACTCTCTTTCTTGAAACCTTCTCCCCGGGACCCCATGCTCCCCTGGTCTTCCTCCTCCTCCTCCACTGGTCACTATTCTCCGCCTCCTTTCTTAACTCCTCCTCTTCTGCCTACCATCCCATCTACCTTCCCTCCCTTCGGATGTCACGCAGCACCGCGATGTATCACTTGTGAGCAGATGTTACCCACATACATATTTCCAGTCCGGGTCTCTCTTCTGAGCCAGCCCCAATCTCATACAAAACTGCCCCTCTCCACCTAGATGCCACACAGGCACTTCAAACTTACCTTCTCAAAGCCAAACTCTTGACCTTCCCCCTCAATCTGATCCTTCTTCAGGCTTCACCACTTTAGTCAAGGGCTCTTTCACTCCTTCATACTCAAAACAAAAACCCAGGTGTTACTGCCAATACCTCAGTACCCAACCACATCCCATTTTACATCCTTTACATCTCTACCTTCCCAAGCCAACGCCCGGTCTGAGTCACCATTACTTTGCACCTGGATAGCTGCACAACAGCCTTCTAACTGGTCTCTACACGCCCACTTCCAGGCGCCTTTAGAAACCCAAACTTGGTATCATTCCCCTGAAGAAAATGGCCTCTCATTACTCTCTAGATAAAGCCCAAATTCATTAGGGAGCTCTGCCTGCACTACTCCTTGCTCACCTCTCCCTCTGCTTCCTCCCTCCTTCACCTCTAGGACAACTGGTTCTTTCTGCCCCAAACATTTCCCCTCTCACTTTGGTGCTGTACAACTCCTAATTGTCCTTGGTCTCTCGGCCTAAATGCCAGCTTCCCAACACCTCACATTAGGACTCCACTAATTTTTTATACTATCCCCCACAGTACTTCCCGTGATGCATTGGTTCAATTACAATTATTAACATACAGTATATGATGATTGTTCTTCTTCTCCCTTCCCCCAAGTCTTCCTCACTAGATTGGCAAGGCTTTGAGGTTAGATCAGCGCCTATCCTACCCTCCATTCTACCTCTTTGCCTTTAGCACTGCATTTACACATAGTAAGTACTTAAGAAATGTGCTTAATTACCTAATAATTGAATACACTGACTAATTCAACCTCCATAACAACCCTGTGAGGTAGGTATTTCATCAGACAAGGGGAAGCTGAGAGTCTGGGCAAGTGGTTTGCCCAAAGTACAGGGCAAGGGGAGGAGTCAGGTCTTGACGTCAAGTCCGGTGCTAAGTCCGGAGCCCGGATTTTTCCGCTCCCGAGCCTTGGCTCATTGGAGAAAGGGCCAGGAACCGAGCGGACTTTGAGCCCTGGTCATCCACGTGGACCAGAGGAGATAGGGGCTCACTTACTGAGACAGAGTTACGCCTCCGCTGATCTCACGAGTAAAAATCACAATCTGCTGCATATGCATGAGGGGACCATGGGTCCGTGATTCTGGACTGCCCAGGATGCGCCTGACTAAAAATTCTTCTGGCTTGAAGACTTTAGCGCCCCCAGAGTTCCGCACACGTACAAAAACACTCCTCAAAAGGTCATTTGGGGTGGATATTTGAGGGATATCGGGCAAGGGCGTCCTCAATTTGGATCTTATGATCAGGCATCTTTTATAGACAGCCAAGTCCCAAAAGGGGTCCTCGGCCGGCTGGACTAGAAGACGAAGGGGGCGTCTCCTCTGCTTCCTGAGACGTCTGTGGCGAGCTGAGGTGGAAGCAGGCTGCGACCGCGCAGGCGACAGTGGCGGCGGCGCCTAATGGCAGGGCTCTCAGGTACCGTGGTGTCGGCCTCCTGGGGGAGGGGTGAGAGGCCCCCAATGCGTCCGCGCCGCCATGTTGCCCCTTCGGGGTCACCTTAGGCGTCTCCTGTCCCTCTTTGGGGTTTTCTTTCCGCGCACCCTTTAGCCACCTATGTCGGGTGTCACGTGATTGCCCTGTCTGGCCCCAGCCGGGGCCTTGGGAGGTCCTTTTCCTGCCCGAGGGCGGGTTACGGGACTCCTGGGTTCTCATGGTGGCCTCCAAGGTCAGCACTTGCCTGTCCGCTCCCGGGATGGGGCAGGCAGAACGGAGGGAGCACAGGGTTGGGGGCGCGACCACCCCTCTTCAACCCCGGGTCCCATGGCAGGGGACCCGACATCTGGGAGGCCTGTCACTCTGTCCCCGCCACTTCAGTTGCATTTTTATGCCAGAAGGGTTGTGGGGTAGAGGATAAAAGGGTCTCCTGCCCTGGGCCCCTGCTTCAGTGTCTGGGGTGAGAGGTTGACTTAACTTCGAGTCTCGGGTCCTTTTTTTACACCCTTTAGCTTTATGTCGTCTGGACACCCGTTCCTTTTCCTCCATTATATATGGGGAGTGGCCCTCAAGGGCAGACGAAGGAACGGAATGCCTGGCACACTTACAGCCTGGAAAGAAGAATGGGGGATGGGGGACAGTTGCTTTTTCCTTACCTCTTCCAAATCTTTGCTTTTCTTCCAGGCCTCCGTGTCCCTTTTCAGTGCTAAATGTTGGGACAGATTGGGGTCTGTCCTAGGAAAGAAATGGTCTTTCTTATTTATAGGTTTGGATCGTGTTTTATCCCTTTCAGGGAACTGGTGTGTTGGGGACAGCTTCTGTTTGCCCTGCCTGACATGGTCCAACCATCCCCTCAGCCTTCTGGACAGCAACACCAAAGCCAGGACCAAAAAAAGTTCCAGCCTAAGTGCTAATGTCAAGTGTTAGATCGTGTTTATTTGTTTTAAATAAGAGACTAATTAACGTCAAGCAAATGTGTTAAAAGATTCAGAGCCCTTGCCGATTTCCAGTGACCATATCAATTCTGTATCTGAAACTGGTCTTGTTATAATTCCTGCCAAAAATAATTTAACCTTTTATGTGAAATATGTTGTTTCGAGGAGGAATCTGGAAGTCTGGGTTTGGCCACCTTTTTGTTGTTGTTCTCGAATATTTGAAACATTGAAACATATGCCTTCCATTTAAACCTGTGCTGTGTGATATACCAAGGACCACGTGTTGCCTGCCTCTCTGACTTGTGTCTGGGAATGCTCAGGAATCTGGGTCCTGCTGGGGTGTGGGCCCTGTGGGAAGGACAAGGGGATGAGGGGAGGGTGACATGTCTCTGGGGCGTATAGATGAAGTAAAAGGTCACCAGGGGGAAAAAAGAGACTTGTCAGATTAACCTTGCCTGTGTGTGCATGTATGCACCTGTGCTTATTTAAGTCCCTGGGGGGGGAACTAACTGCAAATTCAGACTCTCACTTTAGGGTGCTGGCTCCTGAGCAGGTACACGTTTGAAAGTAGATGTCTAGCAAACGGCTCACAGCTTCTCCCTCATCCAACACATGTGTAATAAACTGTTGCTGTTCCACAGCGGAAGCTCAAGAAACTTGTCCTCCCTGTCCCTTCCTTCAGTCACAATTCAAATACTCCACAGATAGAGGTAACAGTGTCACATAACGCCCCTGAGAGTCAGGGTACCCGAACTCCCCTGTGGCTTAACTGAAATTGGTTGGGTTAAGAAACTAACATTCTTCTTGGGGCAGTCTCACCTGTTGCTGCAGCTCCACACAGCCATCCCAGTTCTCTCCTGACTCATCTCCTCTATCCTTGGCCTTGTGGGGGTAACAGATAGTTTAGGGAAAGGGGAGGTCTGTGGACTTTTAGCCTTGTGCACTAAGGAATTTGCAATAAAACTCTAGTCATTTTCAATTCCTCCCATTGCTCTCTATCAGAATACAGTGTTTTAATGGTGTCACTGCTGGGGGGAAAATTATAAATAAGATGTGTTCAGATCAGACCTCTAGGCCTAGCACTGGAATAGAAAGTGAGCACACTCCTCCTGTCTTCTCTGTTGGGTTGTGTTTGCTGTCAAAGCATGAGGGTTTGGGAATGGGGGACCAAAGGAGGGCGTGGACATGTACATTCAAGCCCGCCCATGCGGGTGTAGGTCATCACAGCAGCACTTGTCTGGAAGTCTGTCATCTCACCATGCTCTGAGCCCTGCTGATGATGTATGGGTGGAGGAAGCCCCACAGGTGGGCTTTGCCAAGATCCTCTGGGAAGCCCTGGGGCTCCCAGCAGCCGCCTGCCTTTTAAAGATAGCGCAGGCGACTTAAGAGAGACCTGCTGTGTCCAGAGCAGCCAGACCCTTCCTTGCTGCTGCAGCCTGTCTCTCTGAACCCAGCTACCCTAAAACTGGGCTGAGGTTAGAGTATCTGGGGCAGTGGGCACACCCCTGGAAGGCTCTGAGGGGAGGGGCACCCTTCATTGAGAACACATGTTGAAATATGTTCATGGTTCTGGGTGTTTAGTGTGGAAAACTGCAGAAACTCCAGTCTTCAGACTTGCCAAGGGATGGGCTTCAGAAGGGAGGTGTGGGCATTGCCTACTCATGAGGCAAGAGGAGACCTGTTTTACCTTCAGGCTATGGTAAGAGCTGGAGCCACCCAGCCTAAGGAAGATGGAGTCTCAGATTGCACGTCCCCATTCCAGTCCCGTGAGTCTTGATTGCTATTTTGATAACAGAATGTCTCTAGTGTGTGAGAGTTCATTGGGATCTTAGCAGCCCTTTTACAGACAGGAACTAAAGATGAGGGTAAAGAAGTGACCTGGCCAGGTTCCCTGGGCTGATTAATGGCAAAGCCAATATCAGAACTGAGGTCTGCATCCTCCACCCCCATAATCCTGTGATGCTGGGCTGGTAGTTGGGTTGAGAAACACAAGGTACTTGCTGAGAGGAGGGAAACATTAGGCTCAAGAGAGCAGAGCGCTTTCTGTTCCAGAGTGTGTGTGACAACTCTGACTAAGCAATTTGAGGAAGTGGCAGAGAGAGAGACTTATGGCCCTCCAACTCCCTCCCTTTGGTGTTGACCCAGGAACAGGTGTGTGGTGACAGGGACATGTAAAGCTACAGACAAAGCGGAACAGACAGCAGGGCCAGTTGGTGAGGCAGTCAGCTGACCCCATGTGGAAGGAGTCCTGATTCACTGAGGAGTGGGAGAGGGGAGAGAAGTCAAGCTCAGCAGCCCACCCACCCACCCACCCTGACTTGATGGCAGGGGAGAGCCCAGGACCAGGGACCTGGTAAGCACCCCTAAAAATATGGAGGCTACTGCTAGAAGCATAGAACCCAGTACTGGGGAGAGTGAACTGGAGAGAGTTTGCGAGGGGTAGTGGAAGAGACCCTGGAGAGTAGCAAGACCAGGCAGGATACCTTTGTCGTGGTCCTGGTAGAGGTTGTAAGCTTGCAGGGGTGAGCTGGGTCAGGGAGGCACCGCAGCACACTGCTTATCCTGTGCCCATTGCCTGAGCCAGCGCCCACCCTGCCCAATTCTCATTTCCTTGGGGCTCCTGGATGGAGATAGGGCTTTGTGTTCTGAAGTTCTGATTACCCCCCCCATCTCCCCACTGGTTACCAGTACCCCATTTTGAAGGCCACTCCCACCATTTGCCTCCGCCCATCTTTCCCAGTGACTACCTGCCAAAACCAAGTTCCGATCACCCTCCCATTGGTCACTAGTACCCCATTTTGAAGGCCACTCCCACCATTTGCCTCCGCCCATCTTTCCCAGTGATCACCTGCCAAAACCAAGTTCTGATCACCCTCCCACTGGTTACCAGTACCCCATTTTGAAGGCCACTCCCACCATTTGCCTCCGCCCATCTTTCCCAGTGATCACCTGCCAAAACCAAGTTCTGATCACCCTCCCATTGGTCACTAGTACCCCATTTTGAAGGCCACTCCCACCATTTGCCTCCGCCCATCTTTCCCAGTGATCACCTGCCAAAACCAAGTTCTGATCACCCTCCCATTGGTCACTAGTACCCCATTTTGAAGGCCACTCCCACCATTTGCCTCCGCCCATCTATCCCAGTGATCACCTGCCAAAACCAAGTTCCGATCACCCTCCCATTGGTCACTAGTACCCCATTTTGAAGGCCACTCCCACCATTTGCCTCCGCCCATCTTTCCCGGTGATTACCTGCCAAGGCCCCTTTCCCAGGACAGGTGAAGGCACCCACTCCTCTGGGAGGGGGTAGTGATCTCTTATTCCGAGACCACTAGTGAGGACTTCTCTTAGGGGAAGGGGGTATGATCCTTCATCTCAGGACAGTGTTGAGATGGAACTGGCTGTGTGAGGGTCCCAATTTGTTACTGTTTTGTTGCCTCCCCCTCCTGCCCTCCCTCTCTGAAGGAGCCTGCTCACTCCACAATGGGCACCTAAACCCAGTCTTAAGATATATATATGGCGGCCACAAAAGAAACCACAAGAGAGAACTTTTTGGTGCACCTGCACCGCCCCGCAGGGTCCGAGGACACTGTGCGAGACGGGGGAGGTACTTTTTTTATTTTTTGTAGAGGTGGTCCCTGTCCTCCAGGAGCTTACAATCTAGCTGGGGAAACACAACTAATGCACACTTACACAATCATTACAATTAGCAATTACCACAATATTGACCACAATTGCGTGAGACCAGGGAAAAAGATCAGTGACAGGCTGGGGGATCGGAGAAGGTGTTTTAGTCAAGTTGGGATTCTTTTACTGGTTGAATAGGTCCGAATTGAGTGACACATTTTTTTAGGGTGGGGTGGGCTTGGGAGGCAGTGAGGGAGAATTGAGGGAGCAAAGGCAGCAGGGCTGGAATGCACATGCCATAGGCAAGGGACAGTGAGAGGGCCCCACTCTGTTTCTTAACCATCATCCTCCCTCACCCACGCCCTACAGTCCCGCCACACAGGCATGTAGTTGGCTCCTTGTCTGCTGCTCAGAGATTCAGGGCTTCAGCTGGTGGTGTTGGAAGGTCCATTCTGCTGGCCGGCGTGGTTGTCTGGATCTCTGTGGTGGGCCTGCTGGCATGGCCATGGCTGTGGGGCTGGATATCGCTGTTCCAGCTTGGTCCAGATCAGAATGCCTGTGCCCAAATCTCGGAGGTCTGCTCCCTCCATCCCCCCTCCTCCCTCTCCCCCGCCCCGCAGTGGGACGGGTGCAAAGGGGGCTCGGAAGGGATCTGGTATTGTCGTCATAGCGGTACTGCTTCTCCGGAGGCCTGCCAGCCCCTCACTGACCTTGGCAAGTGCTCCTCTGGCGCGAGAGCACAGGGGACCCCCCATCCCCGGGCAGCACTGGCTCCCATGCTGGGTGAGATGCACAGGAGCACCTGGTGACAAGGCCGCCCAGGGCTGGGGGCTGGGGCCTCAGTTGGGGGCCCGCCGGCGCTCTCCCAGCACCTGCCGCCCGGTCCTCGACACGGTGTACGCCAGCTTCTGCAGGGAGTACCTGAACACCTGTAGTGAGAGACCCAGGACCTGCCCTTAGTGGCCGGCACCCGCAGCCTATCTGCAGCGCTGCTGTGCCCGCCCCCGCCCCCCCCCCCGCGCTGCCCCGCCCGCCTGCCCTACTGGGAAAGGCGGCAGGGGCGCAGCCTGCCCACAAGTCGGGGCAGCTGGAGCTTTTCCAGCTGTGCTGAAGGCTGCATGGCGGCAAGCTGATTGGACCTACAACTTATGTATACCTCACTTCTTGCAATGGGCTGGGTCCCTGGATGATTTCGAAAAGGGAATCCTACCCAGTAAATGCAGCATTCCAGGAACACCTTGAAGGAAATATGCAATTCCTTTGGCAAAGAATTCCTTAGCAGGGAATTCTTCCTACAAAGGGTGTTTTTAGAGTAAATGATTTTATGGCAAAGTGCTTTCTTCTGGTTTTTTTCTTTTTAAACAAATCGCTTTGCCTCAATTTGATTTTTTTTAATAAAGCGAAATTGGATTTTTAGGAAGCGCTTTTTTCTTCCATTTTTCTGCAAAGAGCCTTTTCTTCTATTTTCCTCAAAGCGCTTTTATCTGATTCACTTTCTTGTTTGCTCCTTTGTCTAATTTTTTTCTGCAGTGCGCTTTTTATCTAATGTAATTTTTCTAAGTGTTTTTGTCTATTTTTCCTGCAATGCGCATTTTCTCAAATTCATTTTTTTCCCGTGAATTCCTTTTTTCTAATTTGTTGTGGGTTGGTTTTCGCTAAGTGCTTTGCATTTGTTTTTGAGAAGTGCCTTTTTCTAACTTATTTTTTGTCCCAACCCCGCAATCACTTTATTTTTTTAATGCAATTTCCCCGCAATGCGCAATTCTTTAAGGCAGAAAATTTTTGCTCTGCGAGTTGTAAAGTCTGTTTTCGCGAAACAGACGTGCCCCGCCTCCCTCCTGGGGTCGAGTCTGGGTATAGCGGGTTTTTCTTACCACGTTGGTCGCTAAGAGCCTCGGCGTTCCGTGGCGGCTGGCGCCCGCCGCGCCCCAACTCTTTGTTCCCGGCCGGGCGCGGGCGCACTGAGAAGGGTCTGCGCTAGGAGGAGGGCGCAGGGAACGGGTGGGGGCGCGTGGTGCCGGCCGCGGCACTCGGGCAGGCAGGGATCGCGGCAATCAGGATAGGACGGGTCGGGGAGGCGGCAATTACAACGTGGGCTTGCCGGTTTGGGGGCGCGTATCAGGACCCCTCTCCCACCCAGAACCGGGGCCCATTTACCTGCAGCAGCACGCGAAAAATGTACCAGCCGATGATGAGCAGTTCAGCCGATGCTACTGCCACTGCCGCCATGGTTCCGAGAGTGGGGCGTCGAGAGTGAGTGTGCCGAAGGCTGCGGGTTCGCCGAGGGCCGCTGGTCTGTCGGAGTCCGCTGTTGGGCGCACTGCCGCAGCCGCGGTGGCCGCGCCTTAAGTACCCGCCCGCCACCCAAGTGCGCATGTGCGTTTTCAGGGGTCTAATAGGGGGGGTAAGCCGGAGGCGCTCCTCATTCGCTACGAGAGGAAAAAATAATCCATCTGCTTTTTCCACACCGACCCCCGCCTCCCGAGTTTCATTTTAGCCCCTTTCCAGAAGATTCCGCCGTCCCCGCTTTTGAATTTTAGTGTAAAATGGAGGGGAACTGCAACTCTGTAGCACATAGCAGAAGGGTAGGGGGTGTGTGTCTCTTGGTGCGGACCTCCTCTCTTCGAGCCCAGTGTCCCGTGCCGTACGAGAACCCACCTTCGGCACAGATGGAATCCTAATTTAGAGGGACCGTTTACCCCACAGAGTAAAAAGGATGCCCCTTCCCGGAGTTTTAGCTTCACAGGCCCCTGTTCAGCACTCTTTTTCTAGTATTGGATGTGTTGTGAGCCAGGGTCCCCTGTTTCACAAGAGTGGGAGCGTGTAATCTTTCTGTGATCCAAGGAGTCTTCTTACGGTTGCCAGACCTACGGCGGTGGCGATTGTAGGAATCCTACAGTGCACTAAACTGTAGGCGGGAAAGTGGTAGTTACCAGGTATCTTTCCTTTACGGGAGGGATTGGCGCCTTTGTACGCACGGAAGGGATAGGATGAGCTCTCCCGTGGTGTGGTCAAATGCGCCCTGGGATAGCTGGCTTTTGCACAGGTCATTTCAACCTCTGTTTTCTGCTCCCCTCCCCCCCCATTCCCACCCCAGACCCCGGTAGGTCTTCCTCAGCCAGCAAGGTTCTTTGTACCCGTTGCGCTGGGCGGCTGGAGCGAGGTTTTGCTATCGCCACCAGAGGGTTGTGGCTACTGCAGCTCCGTTTCCAGGCGCAGCAGTTAGACCTTGCTGACCGCGGTCTGCGAGCGCAGTCACGGGGCACCAGTGGCCCACCTCTGGAAAGCACCTCTCTCCAGCACGCTGCCTGGCACAGGGGCCAACTGCCATTTGTCCCTATGTGGACAGAAAATAATTTTGATTAAAAACTCACAGAGATCAGGCTCTATACCGTGCCAGCAGCAGTTGGAGAGTGTAAATCATCCAAGCGAGGTCAGTTTGGATGAAGTAGCATTTTTTTTTCTATATTGACTTTCGAAGAAGTTGGCTGGTTTTGGCAAAATTATGCCAGGCTGTTTGAAAAAGGCAAGCTCGTCCCAGGCTGCCATCTTAAAACAAAATATTTGATGGTGCCGCCGCCGCTGCAGCTTCCCGAAGCTTGCGAGGATCCATTGCTTGCGATCTCCTCCGTGGGCAGTGCGTGCGCCGCTAACTGCTTTAACTCTACTCAGCACCTGCTGTGAGAGAGAACCCTGTGCTAATCCTGTGGGGCATGACCCTCCGGTGGCAACCACAGGGCGGTATTGTGAGGTCTGGACCCCTTGAGGACGGGCCGCAGCCCCAGGAGGCGATACATGATCTCTGCTGGGCAGGGCCCAGGCAAAGCCAGTCCACTGTTCGGGACCTGCGGGAAGAGCCCCGAAGAAGCCCAGGGGAGACACCCCAGGAGGCTTCCAGAAATGGTGACTCGGAGATGAATAGACTTCCACGGGTGGGCAGGGAGGCAAGGGCATTCACATTTATTGTTGTTAACCATGATCCATTTTCCCAAATAAGTATACATTCTGTTCCTGTTTTTTTTTTTTTTTTGTCTGTCTGTCTGTCTGTTTTTTGTCTGTTTGTCTGTTATGTTGACTTTTCTCTTCAGGATCCCTGCTGCCTTGGTGATCCCAGGCTGACAGCCAGAGAGCACAGCGGCTCAGCTCCTGGAGAGTGAGGGTTGAAGAAAGCGGAGGGCAGCCGCCCACGCCCGCTGGCTCCCATTAGGTCGGTTCCTGCAGCGGTGCCCAGCGGCCTTGGCGAAGGCCCTGCCTGACAGAGATCATGTATTGCCTCCAGTGGCTGCTGCCTGTCCTCCTCATCCCCAAGCCCCTCAACCCCGCCCTGTGGTTCAGCCACTCCATGTTCATGGGCTTCTACCTGCTCAGCTTCCTCCTGGAGCGGAAACCTTGCACAATTTGTGCCTTGGTTTTCCTGGCAGCCCTCTTCCTCATCTGCTATAGCTGCTGGGGAAATTGTTTCCTGTACCACTGCTCCGATTCCCCGCTTCCAGAATCGGCGCACGACCCCAGCGTTGTGGGCACCTAACGGCCTGCCTGTTTAGCTTTCCAAGGAAGCAGAAGACGGGAGGGGAGGCATTGACATAGGTCATAAAGCATTGGAGTTTCAAATCCCGCAGCCCGCGGGTTCCACATTCCTGACGGCGCCTTTTTGGCCTGTGATGTTTTATCCTTATAATGTGAATAATGGCACTGACCGGTGCTTTTATTGTAGAATCCTATAGTCGTGGGTGGTCTTGTGGTTGTGTGTTCTGTCCCCATCTTGGTCCCAGCTGGCAGGATGGCCACCCCCCTCGCCTCATTCCTGCGAGGAGTCTGCACCCATCCTGATTAACCACCCCAGCATGACCTGGGCTGATAAAATGCCAAGTCTCATTGTCACCTCTGTGACCCCTCATCAGGGTCTCCTCCTTTTCCAATATGTTCCCAACTCCTCAGTCCCTCCCTTTAGTTATCTTCTACCCCTTTCCTTTTTGGGGGGAGCATCTGTCAAAGACAGTGCTCATTTTTGCACTTATCTCGAATTTAAAGAGATTGCTGACGCCCGAGAGCCTCGCTTTTTTGCCCTTCTTTCCCTGGTCAGCAGGCTAGACAGAAACATGTCTTGACTGTTCGTTCACAAAATCTCCAGTATTTTTTCAACTTCATTTTTAAGAAAGAAGTAACAAATACACGTTACTCTTTCACCGGGGGGTTTGAGCTCATGCCCAGCCTCACTTCCTTTGCCCTTTCTCCTGCTTTCCTCAGCTGTCTCCAGGAGGGGGCGGGGGTGCCTCATTGTGTCCCCTGTGCATGCTCCGCAGGATTGAGGTGTAGCGTGTTCGTGTAGATCTAGACCTAGCAGTCCCCAGCCGAGTGAATGGAAGAATACTGTGTGTTTCGTAACAGCCACGATCCCCTTGATAGGTGTTTGGATATTTTTTGGTGTGCTGTACGTGTGTGTGTATGTGTACAAATACATGTGTATATTCCTTTTCAAGAAGCTTTATTGAACGTGTTCTGATTTTGAGATTTAGCAATAGCTAGCTATAGTGGGTGCGCTACAGTGTTTATTTAGCATGGGTATTGCAGAGTGACCAGCACACTGGACTCCGAGGTGGTTCAAACATGACAGAGAGGAGCAGTGGCCACCGTCCTCATGCCTGGAGCTCCTTCAGTCCTGCACACAGAGACTGTATATTTTGAAGAATACACAGGAAGACTTTGTGACTGTCACTTGCTTTTTTTTCTGTTTCTGCACTTCTGTAACAAGTGTCGGCAACAAGACTTTCTCCTGGCCCTTGCCCACTGGGGATCAGCATGGTTGTCCCTCCAGTCTGCACCATCTTTCTCTTGCCTGAGCAGTGAGGGAGGTGGGCCAGGCAGAGGACAGAACTGGAAGCAATCCATCTAGGGAATGGGACCGCAAGGCCACACTTGTGGAACATTTGGACTGCATCCTGGAGCTTTTACTTCTGGTGTGTTCGTTGCACAGCTGTTTGAAATGTTTAATAAAGCTTTATAAACTTTACTTTGTGGTTTTATGTGGCTGCAGTCCATTTGGGTCGTGGTGTTGGATTTCTGAGTTGGTGGGGGCCAAGGGTAGCATGGAGGGGCTGAGTCCTTGGCGCCAGAGTACCTTAGCCCGAAAATTTGATCTGCTCTCTGGAGAGCAGATGGTGGGGTTGGGGGTTATGGGGGGGAGCGGGGGGCAGGGGGGCAGGCCAGGCGGTGAACAGGAGGGAGTCTGAAAGTTTTCAGAGATGAGACACTTGAGTTTCTCGGCTCCCATGGCTTCTCGCCTGAAACTGTTTCCCTCCATAGGAGATTTGAGTAACCGATCCCCTGACAACTTAAGACAGCTGGAACCCTAATCATCAAGGATTTTTATGGTGCTGCTTTTGAAGTAAAAATAAAGTGAAACCCCTTATGGCATCTGAACTGGAAAAACAAATAAGGCTGGCTGTCCAACCAGGGGCCTTAGCTTAAAGCAATGGGTAGAAGCGCAACAGAGGTGTGCATTGGTGTCGACGTGCATGTACTCCCGTGGCTGTGACCTTTGAGACAACGCAGGACAGCTTGCCAGGGCCCTGTGCTGGGTGTCCACTTCTCGGTGTCTTCTAGAAGACCTAGCAGGAGCACTATGTGTCCAAGACGCCACTATTGTGAGGGTTTGCTGAGATAACAGTTGCGAAAGGTCTTTGGTAATTTCATAGTTCACCTGTTTTACCTAGGTTTTTAGTTTCTCGCTGTAGTTCTGTGTAGTTTTCTCCTGCCCTTTCAAATCTCCCTATTGTCAGTTTTCCTTTTTTTCTTTCCTACTGTTGCTTGTCAGTGTTTTCTCTTGATCAAAACTTGCCAAAGCCGTGGCTGGTGTGACTCATTTGGTTGGAGTGTCGTCCCGTAACTGAAAAGTTGTGGGTTCGATTCTCTGTCAAAGCATGTACCTAGGGTGCAGGTTTGATCCCTGGTCCAGGTGCAAGAGATAGTGGGTCTGGGCACAGAGGCAACCAATCGATACTCTTCTGTCTCTAAAAGCAATTTTTTAAAAAATATCCTCAGGTAAGGATTATAAATTTAAAAAAAAACTTGAAAAGATTTGTCCATTTTAAAGGTATTTTCAAAGAACCAAACTTTTATTGATTATATCTGCTGAGTAGTTTTCCTGAGTGATTTTCCAGTGCTTTTCTGTCTGAATTCTGGGTTTCAGGATATATTTCTTGGTTCAGAAAAGTCTTAAGCTGAGGAGCACACGTGTGGAAAGGAACGTTTGTTCAGCAAACATTGAGTCCCTGTATTATGCTTGCTGGGGATTTCAGGGGCAAGACCGGGGCCTGACTCCACAGGACCACATGATTCTAGCCTAGTGGGAAGACTAAGAAAATAGACAATTGCAAATTCCAAAAACAAAACAAACAAACAAAAAAGGCTTTTGTGGCCCCACTCTCCTGTGGAGGCACCTGGATGATAAATGAAGCCAAGATTATTGCTTATTTTGCTCTCCCTTAGAACCAGCTTTCTGTCATAGGTCAGGCTTGCTTAAAAGTCACAAATAGGCCTCCCTCTGAAAGATCTCTGACCCTTCCCAGCAGGGAGCCTGTAGCCCAGCCCCTCCCAAGGTGACTGCCAAATCAGCATTCTCTGCCCAACAGTACTCGCCACCTTACCACGGCAGCACCGGCAGCACCCTGCCCTCTCTTCCTGAAACACCTTTCAGGAAAAGGAAAAGTAGATGCCTCTTCTGGAACACAGCAGGAGCATGCTCTCCAGTTCTGCTGGTCTCTGGGCTCCTAGTGTGACATGGTACCTGCTGGACCCCATGGGGCCTAGGTCTGGGCTTCTTTAGGAACGTAGTCTGTGTCCTGCTCTGGGCCTTCGTGTCCTTATAGGTAAAGTGTAGTCTTTGGAGCAAACACAACCTTCCTAGCCCTAATATACAGGGAATCTTTTTTCCTAGGATCTTAGGATCCTCCTGGATACATTTGAGGAAGGTGACTAAGCTCTGGGAAGGTGGCAGTGCCCTTGCAGGGTAGCCTGCATATGCTTTATGCTTTAGCCAGTGAGCCCTGCTATGCCTCTGTCAGGAAGCCTTCCTGGATTTCTTCCCTCACCCT